AAATAGTCAAATACAATAGTTTGAGGACTTATTTTGATATGCATGTTTTGACTTAGCATCCGCTAGTTGCCCCTCAGTCAACCGCTTGTTTGCCCCCCAGTCAACTCCAAAAAGACACGTGATTGATAGTAAGCAATTTAATTCATGCTTGATTTCCTATTATCGACAGTGGCCCACAACTGTCACGAAAAAAGAAAAAAAAATTCACGGCAAAACAAAGAAAACTCACGGCAAGAACTCACGGAAGTGCAAAGAAAGCTATCACCAGTCTTTTGCAAATCTCAGCCATCAATCTTTACTGCCTTTACGGATGACTTGCCCCCAGTGCGGATGTGATATGAAGTATGAGGACAAATTTTGTTCTAGTTGCGGAAAAGGTAAAACAGTACACCAGGATCGGAGAGGAGACAATGACCAACACACGTGTCTCTTGAAAAGTAAGACTGATGATAGCTTTCTTTGCACTTCCGCCGACCACTTTCTCTTTCTTTCTTTTGCCGAGAGTTTTCTTTGCTTTGCCGTGAATTATTTTCTTTTGCCGTGAATTATTTTCTTTTTTCTACCTAAGAGACCTTTGCGCGCATCTGTTATGGGGTTCGCATCCATAGTCCAATCAATTATCTTTTACCAGTTGTCAATCAATGTCAGTATGTTGTCAAGTGTTTATGAGAGGGCGGAGCTAGCAGATCACGTGGCAGAGGTATATATAAAGCAACTATGAGATAGGCCTTGAGCAAATATTATCCCGTATTTACGTTATAAATGAAGCATTTTGATTTTAAAGCCAGCTATAGAATTTTCGTGCAAATGTGCACGTTTATGAAGCATTCTCCAACAAAAACCTAATTACGTATGCCAAAATTCAGGACCGGAATTTCAGTTCCAGATTGAGTTATTTTTCAGTACTACCAAGAGAAAATGAACTAAGAGAAGGAATCCTCGTGCCCCATCATGTGCACACTTTGATACTATACTTAGAGTCACTGATGATATTTTTAACTCGTTACCATGCCCGCGCGATAATCATGCTTTCCTTTAATACCTCGTTTTAGGACACGAAAAGCGCTATATTTCGCTACGTCCACGACAAAAACAGGCTGTGTTTACTGCAAGACTGGAAGCCGCCTACCCTCAAGAAATCAACCAATCAGGTTCTTCGCTCAAAATATCTCCAAGCTAAAAATAGCATCAAACTGTGCACATTATGGTTACAAGGCTATATAGGGGGTTCCTTCTCTTAATTCATATTCTCTTGGTACTACTTTATCAGTATTTTTGAAAGCTCAACCAACTAAATACTCCATGCATGTTGAAACCAGGTCCTCCAATCCCCCTTTCCAGGTATCCCAGTCAACGCTGCCTACAGCATCTAGTTCAGTTAACGGGCACATTCGGCCAAAAAATTTGTAGTTAACGGATAGACAATTGGGTAACCCCCTTGGCGCCCTCAAACTTGAAACTCGAGATAATCGTTTTCAAGAATTCGACACCGCTATAATAAGAAATTATTCTTCAACTTATATTCATAAAATATACTTACTTAAAATATTTCTTTATCCTCCTCACTCAGCAAATAAGAAAAAATATGATTTTTTAAAGGTAGTGTGTCTTCACTAGCACTAAAACAATCCAAATAGAATCTAATAAAGAAATATATACATTTTAGCAATTCTGATTCTTTTTCTTGTTATATGTTTGTCATATTTGATTTGGTTACCTGTCAATATGAGACCTACCGCTGTGAAACCAAGCAGTTGAATGTGTACAAATCTCCAGAATAGAAGGAATCTTTATCCATTTAACAAAGAGAAAAAGCTATAATGTCTACATCGAGAACCATGGTTCTTTTTATGTATATATTCTGGGCTGTAATTTCTCTCGAAGGTAAGCTAAGATTTATATTTTTTGTTTATTCTGAATATCGAGAAGTAAAAACTATCAACCGGACGTCGGCATTCACGTGAGAAATGTTGCTTTGTAGATGGTACTTTTTAAAATAATATAACGTTCAATTTGACAGCAAAATGGAAGATATTTCAAGTTATTGGTGTAAACGAAGAAAGAAAGGCGTTTTTCTTATAAATTATATATTTTATGTTTTTGTATACAATCGTTCAATTACCTCTTTAGTGACTAGACGCGACGGCAATAAAGCCATTTATTTTCTTGTTTTTGTATCACGTTATTCTCTAGCATATCTGGTGGTCATTATATTATTAAAGCACAAATCCTAAATTCTGCAGGAAGTAGCCTCGGTTTTCTATGGRAATACTTTGAACATTCATGTGTTCTAGTACCAGTCTGTTGAATTTCAAATTCACATGCCAGTGCGTATAGCAAAAAGCACATGTACATAATGATTGAGTGGTTTATTCCTTTGATGACTTGCTATGATGGGGTCCCCGGCCTGCGGATTTTGGTAGAATTTTCGCGCCACAACTTGCTTGCATCCCTTAAACTCGAATGGAGACTCTTGCTACGACTACGCCATGCAACCGCTAGAATTTTGTAGTAATGATTATGAAAAGCAATAATATATAAGAATGCTGCACTATGGATTAGTTATCCTTTCTTTAAGAATGATTAGTTTAGTGTTTAACATTTCCATTTTTAGCAAATTATGTCAACGGGCAGCAAACGGCATCTAAAACATTCAAGCAATATTGTGTTGATACACACAATTCGTATCGCAGCAAACATAAGGTGAGTTGCTTATGTTAGTCCAGACTAAGACCCCTCAACCTTAACACACAAACTACTTTAAAATAAAAACATAAAACCATCATGAATACGAACAAAAATCTTCTAGAAAAAAAAGAAAGATAAAAAAATTAAATTAAATGCAGTACAACTAAATATATCACTGTAAATAAATATCACTAAATATCAATGTAAAATATAAAATATAAATAACAAAGTTTACAGCTGYGCTTTTCCGCATCTGTATTGTTTAAGAAAATAGGGGGAATTTTGTGTTCTTTGTTGTTGATGTTGTTGATGTTGCCTTTTTGGACCTAATTATCCCGAAAAAGTCAAAAAAATGACAGTCTTGAAATCATATTTTAAATATGTCATTGGAAGCATACCTCCGGCCCCCATTCGCAGTTTCCTGCCGCCCCCGAAAACAAGTGGCATGAAATCCAATTTATTAACTTTTATTATATAAACTATAGTTGTTTACAAAGATTTCTACAACTGAGAAATTTCGTATTTCAACACATGTAAAAAATACGATAATTTTCACGTGTAAAATTATAACCAATCAGTTTGCAGTATTCTGTGACGTCATTGCTCTCACAGGCGCGGGAAAATCACAACGGTCGGCAGCTTTGTCTCGTATGTGGTTGCAAAGATTGCTCACTGGATCGATAATTTTGTTAAAATTATCGAAAATTAAGTTCAAAAACATGGCTGAATGGTTTGTCACATATGATTTACAAGACGTCATAGATTTTATCGAGGAGGAGGAAAATGCAAACACCAAAAAAAGACAAGAACGACCTGTCGCTCATTCAGTTATTTCTCACAACTGAGGAGACTCGACCGTTTGAAGAGATTTCCCCTCAAGAACTCGACCCGTATTTGTCCAGATTTTTGCTATCAGTCAGAACGAAAAACGGTGAGGAACCAACAACCCTACGAGGGTGAACAGTCTAGAGTTGAACTTGATTTGGGTTTGTTTATTTGAGACTGTACTTATATATTCTCGGTTTTATGTCGAATTTAACTTTGTATTTGGGATGTTTTCTACAATAAAACTCCGAATTGTTTTGAAAAAAATACAGTGCTATGTATGGTTCATATAATAAACAGAAAAATACATGGCCGCTTGGAGATATGGAAGTTATCTTCTCGTGTTCAAATTTGATATCTCACTCGTTCGCTGCGCTCACTTGTGAGATATCAAATTGAACACTCGAAGATAACTTCCATATCTCCGCGCGACCATGTATTATTCTCTATTTCTATAGGTGCCAAATATAAAGTGGTCAGACACACTGGAAAAAGAAGCCAAAAGCTGGGCTCAGTATTTGTCTGAAAGCAATAACTTGTTTCGTGGAAGCAAAGGCGAGAACCTCTACTTGTCAACTAAAGTCCAGCCTTACACGGCCTCGTCTTGCGAAACTGCTGTTAACGAGTTTTATACCGGAGAGAGCAAATATAGTTATGACAGAGCTCTACTTTCACGTGCTTCGGAGAGATTTACACAGGTTTGTGTTTTATCTTTTTGTCATGGTCTGCTGATCTGAGAATAAATGTTTGTCAGTAAGTAAGAATCATCATCTTCGTCACTATCATTATTATCCCTTTCATCATCATCATCGTCATCATCATCATCAT